GTCGCAGAACGTCCCATAGTGACTATGACTTCCCACCGCCGGAGTTGATATATGCTAAACTCCGTCAATATTATCTGAATATATGACCACGACGATATACTGGACCTGTACCTAAGATATACTGTGATATATTTGACTTATGTTATATACTCACGTCTGCAGTGGTTGAGTGCTCAATAACTCAATATAGTTTCTATAGCAGCTCTCTTACCCTATCAAAGTAGGAGAAACCGAAAATACATAGATGTGTGTGTGTGTGTATATATACATAGTAGATATATACAAACTGATTAAGAGTTGCATTTCACCTTTGTATTAAGCACATCATCAAATCATGTTGATGATTCGATTGATGGATTGATGTGGTGTTGGTACTACAATACCAACAGCCAAGGGGGGAGGGGGGAGGGGGGGGTGACCGTAGCTGTACAGAATACACTCAACAATCAATAGCTCTACTAACCTCCTGTATATTTCATGCCGAGGCAAGACTTCATCAATTTAGCAAGAACTCATCAATGATGCACATCACAAACTCTCCTCCACTTAGCTTCTATTGACAACTATAGCCCCAGGAAAAGCGCGTCTAACACTCCCTCAATCATCAACCGAATTACACACAGTAAGAGTAAGGGGGAGACATGATAACCACCTACAAAATTCTCGGGGGAATTGACAGGGTGGACAAAGACAAACTCTTCAGCACGGGTGCGACACGAACAAGGGGACACAGGTGGAAACTGAGTACCCAGATGAGCCACAGAGACGTTAGAAAGAATTTTTTCAGTGTCAGAGTAGTTAATAAATGGAATGCATTAGGAAGTGATGTGGTGGAGGCTGACTCCATACACAGTTTCAAGTGTAGATATGATGATAAGAGATGAAATAAGAAGTACGTTAATAGGTTGTGATAATGAATAATTAAGTGTGTACAATCTCCTTCATGTGTGACTCGATTGGAGGATGACAGCCAGTGGTCAGAGAGGTGGTTGTGGTGGTAACGACCGTACAGCCCTGATAGTGGTAGTAGTGGTGGTGGTAACGACTGTACAGCCCTGGTAGTGGTAGTAACGACCGTACAGCCCTGATAGTGGTAGTAGTGATGGTGGTAACGACCGTACAGCCTGATAGTGGTAGTAACGACCGTACAGCCCTGATAGTGGTAGTAGTGGTGGTGGTAACGACTGTACAGCCCTGGTAGTGGTAGTAACGACCGTACAGCCCTGATAGTGGTAGTAGTGATGGTGGTAACGACCGTACAGCCTGATAGTGGTAGTAACGACCGTACAGCCCTGATAGTGGTAGTAGTGGTGGTGGTAACGACTGTACAGCCCTGGTAGTGGTAGTAACGACTGTACAGCCCTGATAGTGGTGGTGGTAACGACTGTACAGCCCTGATAGTGGTGGTGGTAACGACTGTACAGCCCTGATAGTGGTGGTGGTAACGACTGTACAGCCCTGATAGTGGTAGTAGTGGTGGTGTAACGACTGTACAGCCCTGATAGTGGTAGTAGTGGTGGTGGTAACGACCGTACAGCCCTGATAGTGGTAGTAGTGGTGGTGGTAACGACTGTACAGCCCTGATAGTGGTAGTAGTGGTGGTAGTAACGACCGTACAGCCCTGATAGTGGTAGTAGTGGTGGTGGTAACGACCGTACAGCCCTGATAGTGGTAGTAGTGGTGGTGGTAACGACTGTACAGCCCTGATAGTGGTAGTAGTGGTGGTGGTAACGACCGTACAGCCCTGATAGTGGTAGTAGTGGTGGTGGTAACGACTGTACAGCCCTGATAGTGGTAGTAGTGGTGGTGGTAACGACTGTACAGCCCTGATAGTGGTAGTAGTGGTGGTGGTAACGACCGTACAGCCCTGATAGTGGTAGTAGTGGTGGTGGTAACGACTGTACAGCCCTGATAGTGGTAGTAGTGGTGGTGGTAACGACTGTACAGCCCTGATAGTGGTAGTAGTGGTGGTGGTAACGACTGTACAGCCCTGATAGTGGTAGTAGTGGTGGTGGTAACGACTGTACAGCCCTGGTAGTGGTAGTAGTGGTGGTGGTAACGACTGTACAGCCCTGATAGTGGTAGTAGTGGTGGTGGTAACGACCGTACAGCCCTGATAGTGGTAGTAGTGGTGGTGGTAACGACTGTACAGCCCTGATAGTGGTAGTTGTGATAGTGGTAACGACTGCCGCGTTAATGGTGATAATTGCGTTTATTTTGAACCTTTTCCCACTTCTCTTTAACCGTCTCAGAAGACAGGTTAAGTAATTGACGGACACGTCAAGATCTGTCAACTTTACGAAAGCATTTCTCCTTTATGACCTCTCGAAGAGTGGTTGTTGACGCTACACAAGTTGATATCTGCCATTCAAATGACGGCGGACATCACCAGCACGATAACACATCAACTTGTGGGACGATAGCAGGAATGGTGACCGGGCCCTGCTGGATTGTGAGGAAATGAATGGTATGCTCTAGGTATACTACAGGTATACCCCAGGTATTCCCAGGTATGCTCCAGGAATGGTGCCCAACCACTTGTGGAGGGTCGGGGATTGAACGCCGACCTGCATGAAGCGAAACCGTCGCTCTACCGTCCTGCCCAAGTGGTTGGACAATAGAGTACCTTAAGCGTAGCCAAACGTTTTCCATCTATGTTAATTTAATTATTAAATTTTTGATTTAGTATAAAATTATAATTCACCTTTCCCATTTTCTGTCCTGCTGACGGGAAAGGGAATTTCTACAAATTATTTCATTAACTCAAGATTTCAATTTCGACAATAAAATAATATTATCATAAAAGTAAAAATATATTATACACATATTTCATGTGTTTAATATATTTTTTTTATTTTATAGAGCAGTCTTAATGTAATTTTCTATTTCTATATTTCTTTAGCACACGGGTTTATAAGACATTTTTGGTCATAGGCAACACTGGGGTTTTGTTATACTCACCTATTTGTGCTTGTGAGGGTTGAGCTCTGGCTCTTTGGTCCCGCCTCTCAACTGTCAATCAACTGGTGTACAGGTTCCTGAGCCTACTGGGCTCTATCATATCTACACTTGAAACTGTGTATGGAGTCAGCCTCCACCACATCACTGCCTAATGCATTCCATTTATTAACTACTCTGACACTGAAAAAGTTCTTTCTAACGTCCCTGTGGCTCATGTGGGTACTCAGTTTCCACCTGTGTCCCCTTGTTCGTGTACCACCCGTGTTAAACAGTTTATCTTTATCTACCCTATCAATTCCTCTTAAGGATTTTGTAGGTAGTGATCATGTCTCTCCTTACTCTTCTGTCTTTCAGTGTCGTAAGGTGCATTTCACGAAGCCTTTCCTCATAACTCATGCCTCTTAGTTCTGGGACTAGCCTAGTGGCATACCTCTAAACTTTTTCCAGCTTCGTCTTGTGCTTGACAAGGTACGGGCTCCATGCTGGGGCCGCATACTCCAGAATTGGTCTTACATACGTGATATACAAGGTTCTGAATGATTCCTTACACAGGTTCCTGAACGCTGTTCTGATGTTAGCCAGCCTCGCATATGCCGCAGATGTTATTCTCTTGATGTGGGCTTCAGGAGACAGGTTTAGCGTGATGGGTGTGAGAGTGTTCTTGTGAACAAACAGACACAGCTACAGTACCAACATGAACAGTAACATCTGGGGCGTGTTTATAACCCTTCACCTCTCCCAAGAACCCTCCACCTCTCCCAAGAACCCTCCACCTCTCCCAAGAACCCTCCACCTCTCCCAAGAACCCTCCACCTCTCCCAAGAACCTTCCACATCTCCCAAGAACCTTCCACCTCTCCCAAGAACCCTCCACCTCTCCCAAGAACCCCCCACCTATCCCAAGAACCCTCCACCTCTCCCAAGAACCTTCCACCTCTCCCAAGAACCCTCCACCTCTCCCAAGAACCCTCCACCTCTCCCAAGAACCCTCCACCTCTCCCAAGAACCCTCCACCTCTCCCAAGAACCCTCCACCTCTCCCAAGAACCTTCCACATCTCCCAAGAACCTTCCACCTCTCCCAAGAACCCTCCACCTCTCCCAAGAACCCCCCACCTATCCCAAGAACCCTCCACCTCTCCCAAGAACCCTCCACCTATCCCAAGAACCCCCCCACCTCTCCCAAGAACCCCTGCACTCCTCCACAAACCCCCCTCCACCGTCCAGGGCAGCCGTGCTGCTACAGGGGTTCCTGGAGTCATGTCATGCTTCTCACCAACAAGCATCACTCATGGAAGGCCTGTGGAGCGAGTCTAACAAAACCCAAACAGGAGAACGGTTACTGATATTTACAACACCGTTATGGAGCATCCTGGATATTGCAAGCCGTGCAACAAATACCAAGAGCCTTAAGTGTTGCCCAAAAGCTTCCCCCAGCCAGTACGGGAGTGGTGGCAGCTTACCACCGCCCCGCGAGATCAGACATCTTTACTAAAACACATAATGTTTCCAGCTCCCGCCTCCGGCCGCTCAGTTAAATGTCAAAATGATCTCAAGAAGCTTTTACGGGCAAACTCTTGCGATCAATATCCTCGACATGTTCCATTTTCACCTGGATACATTTATAGTTCAAGATATAACGGTAAGTCCTGCTGACAAAATTTGAATTTTTTTAAATTTTGGAATTTTAAATTTAACGGTAACTAGCCACCACTGTAGAGGCTACCAGGCAAGATTGTTATAAGTCTTAGATGTACAATAAGAAGATTGTCAGCTTCCAGGTCATTGCTACTCAAGTGAATAAGAAATCAGGAAATTTCCATATACAAGATAATTCCATTTTTATTTACGGGGCTGAGATAGCGGGCGCCATGCTCCATCTCTCTCAGTCAGACGGCGGAGATCCGGTGATAACCAGAGAATGGCGACCAGGATGACATTATTAAGGCAGCCTAGCGGGGGGAGGCTTGACAACAGCGCCATCTGTGTATGGCTGACACTACCACCACACCCCCACCATCACCCCCTTCACACTAGTACATCTACACCCTAGTGGTGTGGCACTTGGGCGTGGGGTGATGGAGTGCCCATGGGCGTGGGTTGAAGGAGTGACCATGGGCGTGGGTTGATGGAGTGCCCATGGGCGTGGGTTGAAGGAGTGCCCATGGGCGTGGGGTTGAAGGAGTGCCCATGGGCGTGGGGTTGAAGGAGTGCCCATGGGCGTGGGTTGAAGGAGTGCCCATGGGCGTGGGGTTGAAGAAGTGCCCATGGGCGTGGGTTGAAGGACTGCCCATGGGCGTGGGTTGAAGGACTGCCCATGGGCGTGGGGTTGAAGGAGTGCCCATGGGCGTGGGTTGAAGGAGTGCCCATGGGCGTGGGTTGAAGGAGTACCCATGGGCGTGGGTTGAAGGACTGCCCATGGGCGTGGGGTTGAAGGACTGCCCATGGGCGTGGGGTTGAAGGAGTGCCCATGGGCGTGGGTTGAAGGAGTACCCATGGGCGTGGGTTGAAGGACTGCCCATGGGCGTGGGGTTGAAGGACTGCCCATGGGCGTGGGTTGAAGGAGTTTGGGTATGATAACTAAGGGGGCGAGGATATCCATGTTGGTTTAAGACTTCTTCTTATGGACCAAAATGCATTATTCCGACACTAAATTAAGACTGATGCGGGTGTACCCGAGGCCTCACACACTAATGTAACTTTGACACCGATCTCCCATAAGGAGGTGGGTGATTGGGAGGCAGAGAGAGAGAGAGAGAGAGAGAGAGAGAGAGAGAGAGAGAGAGAGAGAGAGAGAGAGAGAGAGAGAGAGAGAGAGAGAGAGAGAGAGACAGCGCATACCTCAGGGAACACCAACGAGGCTAATTAGGGGAGTTTGATCGGTTTAAATACGAGTTTGATTTGAAACTCGTATTTAAAAGCCTAACCGTTCAATCTGCTCTCGTACCTCCCCCCCCTCCCCCCTTGATCAGTAGGCCAGAAAGGCGTCATATGTAACTGGAGTCCACAACATGCTATGCCACAACAGTCATCACGGGCTAATATCCGCTTATTGCCACTGAATTGTCCCCTCAGGCTTCAAATGGAGAAAGATGAACTCTTCGCTAAATCGAATAAAATCATCCCATTACTGGTTGTTTTTGCTGCTAAATTCCCCTCAATTATGATGATTTACTGAGCGATTTTTGCCACAGGGGGAGAGGGGGGGGGGAGGAGGTGGGTGATTATACCACTCTTATATATGACATCAGCCAATGGGGCCTCTTGTTGGTGGGTAATATATGGGGGGAAAATGACGAAGTCAAAAGCCTCTTGTGGTAGATGTAAATATGTCTGGAGGAGAGCGCGGCGTATGTATCTGTCTGTGCCTGCTCCTTTGCTATCTATTGGAGGCATTCATGCTGTCAATATTATCTTTACTGTCTGAGGTGGTGTCTCTTGAGGCTTTCTGCCTGTCTAATCTCACTGCCAGCCAGTTAGTTCAGTCAGTCAGTTTGACTTTTCTGCCTGTTTTTTTTCCCTGTCTGTCTGTCCGCCTGACAGATTCTCTTCTTATCTCACTTGCAGTGAGTGCTCTTGACTAGGCTTCCTACCCAGCACACAAGCACAGCTGGCGGCCTCACTAATGATAATACCAGCGCCATACAGGAGTAGTAGTGATGGTTTCTGTCTGTGTGTCACCTTCGCCTGCTCGGCCCCTGCTGTAAATCACCTGCTGGTCGTGGTCCTCACGACTGTAAATCATCTGCTGGTCGTGGTCCTCACGACTGTAAATCACCTGCTGGTCGTGGTCCTCACGACTGTAAATCACCTGCTGGTCTTGGCCCTCATGACTGTAAATCACCTGCTGGTCGTGGCCCTCATGACTGTAAATCACCTGCTGGACTTGGCCCTCACGACTGTAAATCACCTGCTGGACTTGGCCCTCACGACTGTAAATCACCTGCTGGACTTGGCCCTCACGACTGTAAATCACCTGCTGGACTTGGCCCTCACGACTGTAAATCACCTGCTGGTCTTGGCCCTCATGACTGTAAATCACCTGATGGACTTGGCCCTCACGACTGTAAATCACCTGCTGGTCTTGGCCCTCATGACTGTAAATCACCTGCTGGTCTTGGCCCTCATGACTGTAAATCACCTGCTGGACTTGGCCCTCACGACTGTAAATCACCTGCTGGACTTGGCCCTCACGACTGTAAATCACCTGCTGGTCTTGGCCCTCATGACTGTAAATCACCTGCTGGACTTGGCCCTCAAGACTGTAAATCACCTGCTGGACTTGGCCCTCACGACTGTAAATCACCTGCTGGTCTTGGCCCTCATGACTGTAAATCACCTGCTGGTCTTGGCCCTCATGACTGTAAATCACCTGCTGGTCTTGGCCCTCATGACTGTAAATCACCTGCTGGACTTGGCCCTCAAGACTGTAAATCGCCTGCTGGTCTTGGCCCTCACGACTGTAAATCACCTGCTGGTCTTGGCCTTCATGACTGTAAATCACCTGCTGGACTTGGCCCTCATGACTGTAAATCACCTGCTGGTCTTGGCCCTCATGACTGTAAATCACCTGCTGGACTTAGCCCTCATGACTGTAAATCACCTGCTGGACTTGGCCCTCACGACTGTAAATCACCTGCTGGACTTGGCCTTCACGACTGTAAATCACCTGCTGGACTTGGCCCTCATGACTGTAAATCACCTGCTGGACTTGGCCCTCACGACTGTAAATCACCTGTTGGTCTTGGCCCTCAAGACTGTAAATCACCTGCTGGTCTTGGCCCTCATGACTGTAAATCATCTGCTGGACTTGGCCCTCATGACTGTAAATCACCTGCTGGACTTGGCCCTCACGATTGTAAATCACCTGCTGGTCTTGGCCTTCATGACTGTAAATCACCTGCTGGTCTTGGCCCTCATGACTGTAAATCACCTGCTGGTCTTGGCCCTCATGACTGTAAATCACCTGCTGGTCTTGGCCCTCATGACTGTAAATCACCTGCTGGACTTGGCCCTCAGGAAACCACCAAGTCCCCCCAGCCCTTCGTAGCTTTAACACGACCCATTTACCCAGAAGCCGGCACCAGCTATGGGAGCCGCCAGCCACTCTCACGGGCTCACCATAGCCCGTGCTACTTGGAACTTTTTGTTCCCAGTAGCTGAATCTATAACAACATCCCCCCTCCCCCCTCCCCCCCAACACGTCCTCTTAAGCCTTCAAGTTGGCAAGTGGAAGCCGATATAAGCACAAGTTAGCGTGGTCCACTTAGCAACTTGGTCAGCCTCGCTGGCGTAACTTTGAACTTGAAATAAGTTTATTGAGGTAAAATACACACAAAGGGATGAGGTAGCTCAAGCTATTCTCACTCCGTTCAGTACGTGTTCATATATATATATATGAATGAAAACTCACACCCCAGAAGTGACTCGAACCCATACTCCCAGGAGCAACGCAACTGGTATCTACAGAACGCCTTAATCCGCTTGACCATCACGACCGGATTAAGGCGTCCTTAATCCGCTTCATCAAGCGGATTAAGGCGTCCTGTAGATACCAGTTGCGTTGCTCCTGGGAGTATGGGTTCGAGTCACTTCTGGGGTGTGAGTTTTCATTCGCATATAGTCCTGGGGACCATTCAGGCTTGTTCGCATATATATATATATATATATATATATATATATATATATATATATATATATATATATACATATATGACAGTGTCAGACCACGGAGGAAGAATTGAAACAGGAATTTCCTTAAGTACTTTCGTATATTAATACATCTTCAGAAGGAGTCACTAAGCACTCCTTCATAGATACATCACAAACGATAAACATGTTACCGAACATTTGTGAGTAACGTAACTTTGCTGTTCATGGTAATGTGACGGTCTGCGGGGTTCTGAGTCGAAACAGTTTGGCAGTAAGATGTTGTAATTTGCGTGGGAGAGAACATCAGTTGATTGCCTTAAATTAGTCACTACTATGCAATACTGTATGCAAATTAACCTCTATGCATAGAGGTTTTTGTCAAAGGGGAAGTGATAGTGAGAATAGAGCTGTAAGGAGATTAGCATTAGGCTGTTGTGAATTGGCATACGAGATCTAAAGAAGAGTCTTGAAAGTGCTTCGGTGATATCACATGATATCGTCGGTCTCAGGAAATAGTTATAAGAGTAATTAAGGGTTTGAATAACATTGTTGTATGATATCATAAAGTTAAGGCTGGGCGAAAACCGGTTATCGACACATAGTCTGAGGGGAAAGCAATGTTGCCAGTTGTTACACGAATTTAAAAACTAAGTTCAGTCTGGATCCTATATGTAGCTAAATATTGTGTCACGTTACTCTCTGTATTTGTGATTTTAGCTCTATGTGACTGCTGGAATAGTATCTAGCGAAAAGTTCAACGTTATGTTCAAGAGTAAAGCCCTGTGAGGAAGACGGTTGAGAGATGTGGCAACAGCGCGAGCAGGAATAGTCAACTGACAATCCTCATGAGAATTTGTACCTCATTTGAGTCTAACTAGTCAAACGTGGATACTAGAAATTAGTTTGTGTTCCTGGGGCCCTGATACACGAAGCAGTAACGCAAGCACTTACGAACCTGTCCATCTTTTCTCAACCTTTGACGGCTTTGTTTACAATTATTAAACAGTTAATGAGCTCCGAAGCACCAGGAGGCTGTTTATAACAATAACAACAGTTGATTGGGAAGCTTTCATGCTTGTAAACTGTTTAATGCATGTAACCAAAGCCGTCAAAGATTGAGAAAAGATGTACAGGTTCGTAAGTATTTGCGTAACTGCTTCGTGAATCTGACCCCAGTCAACTGCTTCGTGAATCTGACCCCAGTCGACCTTACACTTCAGTAGGGGGCGCGCTCGACGGTTGTGCGACATTCTCCTAGTAATACTTGAGTAGATGTGCTTGATGGGGTTCTGGGAGTTCTTCTACTCCCCAAGCCCGGCCCTTATAAGAGGAGAAGTGGCCTCTCTATTTTTCTTGTACTGTCAGGTTTTCAAGTTAATAAGTAATAAGGTTGACCAGACCACACACACTAGAAGGTGAAGGGACGACGACGTTTCGGTCCGTCCTGGACCATTCTCATGTCGATCAAGTCACAATCGACTTGAGAATGGTCCAGGACGGACCGAAACGTCGTCGTCCCTTCACCTTCTAGTGTGTGGTCTGGTCAACTTACTTTAGCCCCGTTATTGTGACTCATCGCCTGCAAGTAATAAGGTTTTAAGTTATGAAGTAGTATCTGATTGATTGATTGATGAAGATTAAGCCACCCAAAGAGGTGGCACGGGCATGAATAACCCGTTGTTGTTAAGATTCGCTACTTGGAACAAAAGTTTCCAAGTAGCACGGGCTATGGTGAGCCCTTAGTAGACTTGCCTGGCACAGGAGCGGGGCTGTAACTGTCAGGAGAACCGTATGACTAGCCTGATTGATAGATTGATGAAGATTAAAACACCCAAGAGGTGGCACGGGCATGAATAGCCCGTAAGAGGTA